TATTGTACAGAAGGTGGTAAAGAAAGCAAACATGAAACATACTGCAGTAAAAGTCAGACAAATTGCACTTGCTAAATAATGTTCGTTCTCAATACCAAACCAACTAATAGTACCCTAAAAAGTAATTAAGGAAAAAAACCCCAAAGATATCGACTATGCCAAAATTCACTCTGAAGCAGAATGAACTCTTAGAATTTCTTGCCTTTGACTGCAATTTCTCCAGTAACTTAGATGTCTGCATTCAAACAGTTAAAGAAATAAAATAATGACTCAATTAAGTGCAAAAAAGGAAAAGTATTGAATGACAAAAATAAAACACAGATCAGTTGATTAAAAAAAAAAAACCAAACACAACTGAGTTCAAGCCTTCACTTTTATACACAGGCCGTTTGCAATATACTACATGCAAATACTCAAGGGCAAAAGCTGGTCTCGCCACATTTGCAGTATACAACCACATGCAGAAGATTAAAAGTTCAATTGAATTTAACAGCAGCCATTTTACAACTGACACCAAACAAGAAAATCAAGGCAATTGCACCTAGACATTAACTGAAGTATTTGCCAATTGCAAACTTTACCAGCTTACCCAGAGTATCTGATAGTGTGCAATGAAATAGAAACCCAGACCAATGGGATTTTGTCTTCTTGTTCTTTGAGTAAAGATGGTAGATGTAGTTACTAAACTTCCTCCTCTCAATTAATTACTATTTAAAAACCAAGTATTCCAATTACCCTTTCATGAAGGATGCTGTGCAGAGAACCAAAGTTAACCCTTTCATATACTAATCGGGTCTTCTCCAAGTCACTAGACAGACAAACAGACATCAACTGTAGCAAATGAGGATGACGGAGTTTACTGCAAAGGGAGAGGAAAAAAAAATTGTAAGGCATATCTGAGATTAAAAGAGTCCTGGCCTTCTAGGCCTTTTTACCAATCATCCTGGTTTTGGCAGGGATAGAGTTAATACAACATGAATGCTTCCAATTTGTCATTAAAATACCCAAAATTTATTTAAAAGGACCATAGATTAGGCAACATTTAGGAAACAGTGCTTACTGTTGCAACTACGATAATCTATAAATAAGACATCCAGGACGTGCAATGAAGCATTCATCCAGACATACCAGAAGAGATTATCATCTTCTGTATCATCCACTGGGGAGCAAATGGAGTGGGAAGAGACAGGAGAAGATGAGACCTGTAATTATCATTCAGAGGGAGAGTGCAACCACAACCTGACAGCCCTCCCGAGGTTAATCACATTTCCTCACATCACTGGAGACACCCAAACCCCAGGAGCACTTGTGGCTACTGCACATTCTTTCTTACCTACTATGTTCCTGCTCTGCAATGAGAAGATCAGCTAAGCGTAGTTTACTACAGTTCTGATGGGGCTCAAAGCTGAGTTCCTTCACCGTAACTCTGCTGCCTCCCCACATTAAGCTACAAGGAGAAGAGGAGGAATTTCTACGAGATGCTTTCTGCAGTATTTTTTTCCAGTTACAGGTTTACTTACAAATAATTTTGTAGTTCTGAAATGCTGTGGTGCTGTCTCCTACTGTTAGTAACATTACTTTGATGATCCTGGCTACAGCATACACTCTTTAACACTGACAATAAATTCTCATACCGTTAAACGTAAAGACTGGATGTAGCAGGACAGGTTTGCTGTCCAAAGACGCTACCCTTCCATGACCCAAGGTAAACAACAAGGACACTCAAACTCCTCTCACTAAAGGCCATCAGCCCACTGCGATACAAGCCAGAGCTTTGGGAAGATTAAATCACCGATTTGTCAATTCTCTGGATGCTTGTGAGGCACAACTACTTGCTACACAATACAAAAGATAAAAAAATAAAAAAGGTTCAGTCTACACTTGCAACTCTCATCTCACCATAGGTTTAAGCAAATGGGCTGCAGACATGCATATCCAGAGGCCTGAGGTCTGACCCAGCAATTACAAGGACTAAACACTGAACAACGCAATCTGTGCGACCCCAGCAACAGATTTCCCACCACAAAAGGAATCAGTACTGTAACATTGCTATCAATGAATACCGTAATTGGGTTAATATTGCTGGAAAGGGCAAGAGCAACCTACAGATATCAAGGGAGTCTAAAGAAGATATTAATCAGTGGACTGCAGAAAGCAAGCTGCAAGCAGAAAGCAGTGGATGAATATAGAACAGACAAGGAAAACTATCCAAACAAAGCATCTGGTACAACAACTTGCTGCGTAATAGTAACAGATACACACTAAAAGGGGCTAAAATCCCTTTGATTCCACTTACTTTGTCATGATCATGCATGGTCCAACATGGTAAGAAAATGTTGGTTCATCATCTGCCTGAACCACATCTTTTTCCCCAATAATAGGGAGAGATGCCAAGTACCCTAGATGCCTGCTGCCTGCAAGATAAAACTGAAACACCACCAGGGCATAACCAAAAGGAATATGCAACAGTTCCCAAGATCCGTCACATCTGCCGCAAGCTCACTAAAAACTGGAGTGCAATCACTGCAATGGGAGCATCAGCCAAAGCATCAAAATGACATGCTAAGGTACCTTAGTCAAAAGCCTAACTGTCTAGTGACGCGGCAATAGGGAAAGCAGAGTCACTACGAACTCCCACAGGCGACGTTTAACAGCAGAGTTTCTATTGCCTGTTCCAAAACAGCTTCCTCTGATAGGCAGGACACTACTAACAACTAAAGGCCTGCATATTTGTGCTCTCCAGTTTTGTTCCACCATTTCAGTAGAAATAAGAACACAGTAAAAATTAAAAATAACACAGGTGGGGTAGTTACTGTGAAGAATATATGACTCTCAAAAACTGTACTAATATCATTAGAAAACCGTTATCCATAGCATCTTACCTTCCCAAAACCAAAGCTGTAAATGTTCTTGGTTGCATTATCTCCACCTTTTAGAAATCTACCCAGAGGACTGTCAACATTTCTAAGTATCAAAAACATAAGCAATAAGAGTAACTAATACACCAAGGGTTTGAGTAGAACACAAAAAAAGAGAGAAAAATGCAGAAATTCTGCAACAGCCATGTATTTCAAATGTTGCATTTGACTGGTCCCACACAAAAAGTGTAATGGTGGATGCTGAAATTCCAAATTATTGTGCAAGTCATTAAAACTTTTTAGATACACCATTATGATATATATTTGTTTAAACCAAGATAGCCAATTAAATAAAAAAAGATATATATACGCAGACATCCCACATCGCTTTTTGTTCACAAGTATGTATTTTTCCTAATGTGTATCTGACATAAAAGCTCTTGAAATGCTTGCAAACACACCCCCAAAAGATTTGCAGTGATCTTAAAAGGTCAAGAAACAAACTGCTTCATGTTACCGCCATTTTAATACTATTAAAATCCAGGACTTCATATTGCTGATTTCAAGAGTATCTCTTAATATACAGATATTTACAACTATAAGAGTTTCTATTTGGAACTCTCACAACAGAAATAAAAAGCATCATCATTCCTAACACACATTGGTTTTAAATTTGATATTGTCAGAAAGAAACAAGAACATGTTAATTTTAAGATAACAGAATATGAAAGTAAAAGTCCTCGTAGCTCAATCCCTCAGTACTTGAGAATATATTCTTACCCTTGAACAAGACCACCAAACCTAGACGGACTGCAGACCAGCGCTTTTGATGAGCCAACCTTCCTGAGTAGATCAGAAGGAAAATTCTGAACGGCAGTCTGCATGTGGAATGTACAACGCTGTATAAATTCCAGCATCTAGAGAGGAGGGGGAGGGAAAAAACAACAACAAAAAAAATTACTTCAGAACTGCAAGATAAACCATTTTAAATTAATAGATCATGACTACTGAAAAAATAACTAGTTACTCACAATATTTAAATAGGCATTTCAAGAAATGGATACACAGAAAAACCTGAAGAAAATCAATTACATGAAAACGTAAGAGAAAGCTTACTTCATACACTAGATGACTAACTTCAAGACATCCACCCACGGAAAATTGTAATATCAGGTTTCTTTCTAAGAGGAGCATTGTAGTAACAGGAAAGAGGAGTATTATGAGTTTTAAATCAATATTGGAGTAATGAATAAGCCTTCTTGATACCACATTTTGCTGCCATGCTAGCAAAAATGACACATTTGCTGACACTGTTCATGCACAGAATGAGGTACACTTGAAAACTACTTCAGGTTTACTCCTGAATTGCACATACATGCAAACAAACTACATACATCAAGGATCAAAAACAAGGGCCTGTCATTCTCCTCACTGCACTCTTATACATAAAGGTCCTAACAAGTTACAGACACACCCCAGCACCTGAGCAAAACCTTAGTTAAATAATCTGAATCATGAGGGCTTCAAAATACCATTACTGACGTTGAAAAATAATGTTAAATAGTGTTCTAACATGTAAAAGCCAAGAATTTCTCCCTGGAATGTTGGAGTTTCTTCACTTTAAGATGAAGATGCGAGCACATGTCTAGCACACATTCAACACGTATTACACACACATACCTGAGCACTGCTTTCTTTTCCAGCTGACATAGCCCAGTACTGAGGATTTTTTCCATCTTTATCATGTACTCTCAGATCACCGCCTTCATCCAGTAACTTGCTAAGAATCCACTGATTTCCTGAGAAAGCAGCTGCATGGACTGGGGTGCTTCCATCGTAACAGCGACTGAGGAACATTAAAAGCAGAAATGTTTCCACCTACCCCTACTACACTCAACCAGCTGTGCCTCTGGGGAAAAAAGCAGCATACCTAGAAGGCTTGTGTATTCCCAAACAACTACATACACCACAAAATAAGGAGAATTAGGCATCTACTTACCTCTGAGGATCTCTGGCTAAAATAGCAACATGCATGTTAAGCACATCTTCATTTATATACAGTGAATATTGTGTATTATGTTGACTAAAACCACTGAAAGATTAAACAGTAGTTTCAATTTAAGAATAAAAATTTATTTTTGTACTTAACTGATTAGCGTCTGAGCCATAATCCAACAGCACATCCACTATTTTACCAAGACCTAGCAATGCAGCAGTGAAGAGAGAAGTTTGGCCCATGGAATTTACAGCATCAACAAAAATACCTACAAGAAAACAAAAGATTATGAGGACAGTGCCTGTTCCCCCCTGCCGTCAAAAAAAAGGCAACGGTTCATTAACACTTGAGGGGACAGGCAGCTCGACGACAAGCATTGCGGAGTTTGACCTTGATGACCGAGCCTTGTGTCCTTGAGAACAACAAGTAAGAAGAACGCGAAGAAGGAAGTGGGAAAGTACTGAAGAAGAATACCGTCAGAGAATGGCTGTGTTTTAAAAGAATAGCCTATGTGCTTGTGTGTAGATACACGTGTTCAAAAGGCTGTGTCCTATCAGTAAGCTGCTGATAGCGCGCGAACACTTGAGCTTTGTATAAAAGGAAAGTAAAACCATAATAAAAGGTCTTTAGTTGCCGCCTGCCAGAGTCCGTGCTGTTAATCCCCACAAACACTGAAACTGACTGCCACATTCCCTCTGAGATACTGGAAATACAAAAACGTAATGATATGAACAGAAATTGAAAAAAGAGCAAATGACCTTCCTTGTCACTTTCTATACATACCATGCACTGCTTGTCCACAGCGTTTTCAAATAAAGGATGTACAAATATCAGAGGCAAAGTATTAATCTGGATGAGCACAGATAACACCAGAGGACTGCATTAATAAAAAATTAAATTCTTCTAAAGTAGTAATTAAGAGTGAGACGACTATTTTGTTACTTTAACCAACTTTCCTCAAAGTAATGAATTCCACTACACATTAAAAAGAAAAAAGGTAGTCTAGAGGGATATGGATCTGAAACAAGAACTGCGCGGTGAACGCAGTCACATACTACAAACCCGGTCTGTTTTTGGAACCAAGAAAAAAGAGGGCCACAAACCACTCAGCCCGTGCTCTCTCCCTCCCGGCCCCCGCAGGGCCGGGAACGGTCATCAATGGCGGGCGGCTCCTGCCCAAGCAGCACCGCCCGCCCGCTTCGCGCTCAGGAGAGAACACCCCGCTCCTCCTCGTGGCTTGTGACGCCGTTCAGGGACGATCACTCTCCTCTAGTGACCAACTACAGAAATGACCCCTGAA